TTTATCCGGACCGTATCTGATTGCCCGGTGGTCCACGGATAATCAACATCCCGTCAACAGGCCAAAGACACCACGCCAAGCCGAGACCGCACCAAAACGGGATTCTCGTGTTATTTTCGATAAAAGTTTAATCTTATGTTTTAGTTGCATTCTTGTTATGTTGTAACGTTTGAAGTTGTAACAGATTCAAAAGCAATGAAAACACCGACTTTCACCGAAAACAACCCCCTCATCAATCCTTTAACTAATATCAAACATATCACAAAACAAATACTTTTCATCGGGACTTAACAAATTAATTTCCAAAACTCTCAACAAAATCACATTTCAAAATTTATTTACGATCACAAGCGCCACAAGTCAAGGATAGCCATCCTATCCAATTCTCAAGTCAAAGTAGAAAAAAAAATTCATGTAACTAGCTTCAATCCCAAAGTACTAAAATTGAGACCTTCAGGTAGTTAGATTGGTAGACCTCACTTTAGGATAAGTGGACTCTCAATCTCTCATGTGTTTAAGGATGGGATTGTATCGTTCAAAATTCTTCCGAATGGATGTATTCAATCCATAAGCTTGCATTTCATCTCAATTCTCCACCACTTCGAAAACTAATGCATGCAACAAAATCATGAGGTCTTTTATTTGGTTGTAATGGGGCTAGGGTCAAAAGGGTAGGATAGATATTTGGGATTGGTTGAAAGCCTATCACTAGTGGAGCTATGATTGCAAAAGATTATATCTCAAAGTAAGATCAAGGACATCTACACAAACTCCATCATCTATTAAAGAACTTCTTCCAACTATTCCTTTTAGTATGCCATAATATTCTTTCGACACCCGCAATTACATACAGCATAAAGATGACACTATTCATCTTTTTTTTTTTGAATTAGTTTTTTTTTTCTTTTTTTTTCGAAAGAATTATGAAAATGAAGCAAACGCCTACTTTCACACCCCCAAGCTTACACCACATTACTCATATAACCCATTGTATCATAAAATGTGCTCCACTAGCTTAGGCAATGGGTAAGGAATAAAATCGGGTTTTGAAGGTTACATATGTGGGTTTAATCAACAAAAATTAGGCTCATAAGCTCAAGGGGGCTAATCTAAGGAAACAATAGTGCATGGTAGGCTATTTGGCAAATGTGGACTATAAACAAAAATGTGCCTCACCTTTTATGCATACAAAAGTTATATGTGGCCTTGAAGAGATTCAATGCAAGTTCCAGTATCCTACACCATTGGAGAATATCACACAAGAAAAGAAAATAATGATTGGATTGTAATGCATCCAATTTCAGGCTCAAAATCTCACGGGTTTTATTTGTCTACCAAATTTAATTCCCCTCTTGTCTCAATAGAGTAATAGTTATCATGCTAGCCACATAAACACTAAAACCTATAAGACAAGAGAACATTCAAGTCTGGTTCTCCCATATTGTTAACTTGTAATCAAAAGCCTTTGAGAATCAGTTGAAAGATGGTATAAGAAGTTGCCAAGTCCCGACTAATGAGCATCAATCTAGTTCAATGATCGATAAAGGTTAATAATTCATGTCATCATCAGGGGATCACTTCCCTATTTTGTTTTTGTTTTTTGTTTTTTGTTTTTTGGAAGAAACAAAGCAAAAGAAAAACTAAGTTAAAAGAAAAATAGGCAATTATAGACAGGCAACCAATGAATGAACAACCCACACCCCCAAGCTTAAGATCTACATTGTCCCCAATGTAGTATGATAAAAATGAGTGCAAGGGTGCAGGAAACATACCAGTTCACTGTTCAGAAGGAGGAGGAGTGGTGGCATCCTGGTGGCGCTACCACTCATGAAAAGACTGCATCATATGGTGGATAGAATCCAGGAGTTGTCCCTGACGTTGTTGCTCTTGCTCGATGGCACCTACACGGTTAGTAAGAGAGGCAAGAGAAATATGGATAACTGATAATTCTGCTGACCAATCAGGGTGATGAAAAGAGTTAGTTCCCCTTGTAGGCTCAGCCTGAATAGGGATCGGGGGTACCGTGTCAGCATCCTCAGCTGGTACAACCTCATGACCATCACAAATCACAAAATCAGATGTTAGGTAGGACCAATTGGCGTGAACATGGATGGTCGTGCGATCAGGATCAGGGAGTGGGAAAAGATAATTATCCTGAAAACATAACCAAAACCTATTGCCCTTATTACTAATCAATTTCATATGTAGACAAGCATCGAGGTTAATGGACGCACTAGGGCTTAATGGATGAAGTCCATCTACAAATTCTCCTAAACCCATCCCGTAAGCTAAAGTGGTAATCAAGCCACCTAACACAATTCTTCCACTTGTTGCTCTCGCTGCACGACACATATGATGAATCATAAAAGCTCCTATGTCAACCTTATGTCCCTCAACCATGGCACATAAAAGATAGAGTTCTCTCTGACACATGACTCTCACCTTGACCATAAATGGTGAAAGCCATGAACCTCTGTAAATATCTAAAGCATGGGTTATAAACAGCAGAGGCTCGTGACAAAGAGGGATCATAGGTTCTTTGAGTGGTAGAGCGTGCGATAGAAATCCAAAAGGGGGTCAAGTTAAAAATTTTAGGAACAATTCTAGCCCCACCGATAGAAATCCAAAAGGGGGTCAAGTTAAAAATTTTAGGAACAATTCTAGCCCCACCCTCCGGAAAACCACATATTTGATTTAATTGTGCTAATGTAAGGGTGTGAGACTGATTAAATAGCCTGAAAGTGATTTTCCCTTCCTTTACGCCCTCACAATTAAATAAAATAGCATCAAGAGAGTTAAAAAATTCGAGAGTAATACTCTTGGATGTGGGATGTTTAGCCTCTACAAAATTTAACCAACCAACCCGTTTTATAAGGTACGAAACATCATCCCAAAGTCCTAACTCACGCAAACAGTTTTCATCCAAATAACGGGTACTCAGAATTCCCCTCTTAACCAATGTATTATATCTAGATTGTTGCTGTGCATTGACAAATTCTATACTATGAGGATTTTGGGGAGGGGGAGAGTTACCTTTGCGTCGTCGCGCTGTAGAAATTGAAGCTCCCTGACTAGGCCGTCCGCGCTTAGGTCCCATGTAGGCTCTCGAACAGGAATTGACAGTAGGTGTTGAAAAAAGTCGCTGGCTATTGTGCGGCGATGTCGAAATCAGGGTAGTTGCAGGAGAGGGGAAGTCTGGTCGTCGGTGTTCGTGGTGAACGGCGGAGATGGTCGGCGATGGTGGTGCTGTGCTGGCAACGGTCGGAGGTGATAGCTGAGGAGGTGGATGCGGTCGGTGGTCGGAGATCCGGTCGGAGGTGTGGATTAGGGCAGAGAAGGGTGTGGGTTTGGGGGATCGGTGATTTGTGGATGGGGGGCTGATGATTTTGGAACGAAAGAGAAGGGGGGATATTTTCTTTCCTTTTTTTTTCAAGCCACGGGTGTGGCACACAGGTGTGGTGGGCTCTGGATGATTTTTTCCTGCGCACCATGGGTGTGGTGTACACCACCTCTGGGTGTGGTAGAGTCCGCCATCCCATTTTAACTCTTTTTTCTGCAGTTTTTTTTTGAAAGAATTGTTCTCCCTTCTTCTCCCCTGCATGATTGAAAATGTTATAAGTTAATTTGTGTCGATCCAATTGCCTAAAAAAATAAAATAATAAAAAAAATAAAAATAAAATAAAATAAAATAAAATAAGATAAATAAAATGGATGAAAACTTGGGTTGCCTCCCAAGAAGCGCTCGTTTTTGGTCATGAGCTCGACCCCTTTTTCTTTTAGTTCTCCAACGAAGGGGGATCTGAAAGGGTATACGTGACCCCTTTCTCGTGTTGTTCCCCTACAATGTAGTGCTTCAATCGTTGCCCATTCACCTTGAAAGATCCCGTTGTTTCACTCCAAACTTCAACAACTCCACTAGGAAAAACCTCACGGATTTGAAAAGGTCCAGACCAATGAGATTTGAACTTGCCCGGAAAAAGCTTCAAACGAGAGTTGAAAAGTAGCACCATATCTCCTTGATTAAACTCTCTTCGAAGGATATTCTTATCGTGCCATCGTTTAGTCTTTTCTTTATAAATGCGAGCATTCTCATAGGATTCTATTCGTAACTCATCTAGCTCATGAAGTTGAAGCTTTCTTTTCTCACCTGCGGTCTTCATATCAAAATTTAGGAGTTTGATAGCCCAATATGCCTTGTGCTCTAACTCAACTGGGAGGTGACACGATTTGCCATATACCAACTTGAACGGTGTCATGCCTATGAGTGTTTTATCCTCTTCACAAGTAGAACCTTTTGACTTTAACTTTAGACTTTCAAACTTTGCATTTTGAAATGGAGCAGTTGATGTTGATTCTAAAGATTGAGCATATGCGGCTACCTCGGGGTCTTCATCATTTATTGAATCGTCACTTACCAAACACTTCTCAAGTGGATCAGCTGAGTAATGGTTTGCAAGTTGCTCATGTGTAGACTTGTCAATCATATCGATCCTGTAACAAACTTTATCAGTTAGAGGGGGTTTCATAGCATTGTTCAAATCAAATTCTACTTTCTCCCCTTCAATATTTAGGGAGAGACTTCAAACTTACGCTTGCACCTAAATCACACAAAGCACGGTTAATAGAGACATTACCAATAACACAAGGAATAGAAAATGAACCTGGATCCTTAAGCTTAGGAGGCAACTTGTTTTGGATGATAGCACTACACTCCTTAAGCTTAGGAGGCAACTTGTTTTGGATGATAGCACTACACTCCTCAGTAAGGGCCACAGTCTCGTATCCTTCCAACTTTCTTTTATTAGATAGGATCTCTCTCAAGAACTTAGCATAGGAAGGCATTTGAGAAATAGCTTCAGTGAACGGAATATTGATGTGCAACTTTTTCAAAATCTCCAAAAATTTTCGGCATTTGAGAAATAGCTTCAGTGAACGGAATATTGATGTGCAACTTTTTCAAAATCTCCAAAAATTTTCCGAACTGCTTTTCTAACTTAGCCTTAGCTATTGATGTGCAACTTTTTCAAAATCTCCAAAAATTTTCCGAACTGCTTTTCTAACTTAGCCTTAGCTAACATTTGTGGAAAGGGTAGAGGAGGCTTATAAGGAGCGGGAGCCACATATTTCTCAACTTTTTCTTCTTCCTGCATCTGGGTCTCATTATTCACATCTATCACATTTTTGTTTTTCTCTTCATGATGACCATCCACCCCATCATTTTCCTTCATCTTAGGTCCCTCATATTGTTTTCCACTCATAAGGTTTATAGCATTCACATGACCCCTGGGATTCGTCTCGGGTTGTCCAGGTAGCATACCTGAAGGCCTAGAAGAAGAGCTAACATTTTGCGCCAATTGAGTGATTTGTGTCTCTAACATCTTGTTATGTGTAGCTAGGGAATCCATCTTAGAGGCCAATTGTTTTACTACCTCATTCGTGGTTTGTAGTTGTTGCTTAAACTCTTCATTCAATTTCGATTGAGTCATCACAAACTTCTCCATCATATTTTCCAAATTTGACTTTTGAGAAGGGAAATTGGATTGAGGGGGACGAAAACCAGGAGGACCAAAATTAGATGCGGGCATGGGATTTTCAGGTGGGTTTCTATAAGATAAATTAGGATGATTCCTCCATCTCGGATTATAAGTATTAGAGAATGGGTCTCCCTTCTGATTAAAGTTATTAACATAGTTAACTTGCTCATTACCAGAAGTATCAATGGATGGGGGGTTTCCTAATTGACATTGAAGTGCAGACTGACCCACATAGCCACATATCTCACATGAAATTGAAGTAGATGCCACAGAATTAATACTCAAACCTTCAACTTTCTTAAATAAAGCATCAACTTTAGAGGATATATGGTCTGCCACAGAATTAATACTCAAACCTTCAACTTTCTTAAATAAAGCATCAACTTTAGAGGATATATGGTCTAAAGCATCTATTTCATACTTAACTTTCTTAAATAAAGCATCAACTTTAGAGGATATATGGTCTAAAGCATCTATTTCATACTTGCCTCCTATTGATGTATGAGGAGCACGCTCGTTCGCCCATTGATAGTGATTCTGAGCCATGTCTTCAATGAGAGTGTATGCCTCGTCTATTGTTTTGTTCATCAAAGCTCCTCCTGCAGCAGCATCAACAGTCATCCGTGTGTTGTAAGTGAGCCCGTTGTAGAAGGTGTGAACAATTAACCACTTCTCCAATCCATGATGAGGGCACATACTCAATAATTCCTTGTAGCGTTCCCAAGCTTCATAAAGTGACTCTCCTTCCTTCTGTACAAAGCTTGTGATTTGGTTCCTCATCTGTGCTGTTTTACTTGGAGGAAAATACTTTGCAAGAAACGCTCTGGACAATTGATCCCAAGTGGTGATGGACCCAGTTGGCAATGAGTGCAACCAAGCCCTATCCTTGTCCCTTAGAGAGAACGGAAATAATCTGAGTCGAATAGCATCATTGGTCACTCCATTAAGTTTCAAAGTGTCGCAATACTCCAAGAAAATCGATAGGTGGAGGTTCGGGTCTTCAGTAGCACCTCCTCCGATTATGCTGAACCATTAAGAGCAGTGATGGTTTCAGCTCAAAGTTATTAGCTTCAACATTGGGCCTTGTAATGCTTGACTGTGTGCCTTGAGAATTTGGGGCTGCGAAATCCTTAAGAAGCTGATTTTGATCTCCCATCGTAGCTTGTTCTGTGTTCCTTTGCTCCCTTATAGACCTTCTTATGTTTGCAAGAGTCACCGATAGTTCAGGATTGTTTTCGTCGTTTACTTCTGTTTGATTCCCTTGCATAAAAGAAAGTGAGAAGCAAAGAGAAATAAAAAAAAAATCTAGTCTAGCTTAATAACGTAAGCACTCAATATTAACACCGTAGTCCCCGGCAACGGCGCCAAAAACTTGATGGGCAAAATCTGCAAGCGCACAGACTCGTTATAGCTATCAAGGTCGATCACACAGGGACTAGGGTTAATTACCAAATTTCACGTTATTAGACTAGCTAAACTAATGAGTAAATTTGAAGAGATGAAAATTAAAAGAAATAAAATAATAACTAATCAAGTGGAATTCAATATAATGAAGAGCCAGGATTGGGTTTTTACCACAACTTCGATGCTCAATGATGAATTATTTTAGTTCTCGGTGTTGGTTTAAACTAAAAAGGGTGAATTAGCCTAAATTAATCTAAAGCATCTTTCAAGGTCTAAAGATCGTGCCTAATCAATCTCAATTAACCTACTTTCGTGGAATCAAGATTAAATTAAACCCATTAAGCTTTATGCTAATCCAAATTAAATCTCCAAGAAATCTAGCCTACTTTCGTGGTTCGAGCTCCCTGCTTAATTTCTAGAGATCCGGTATTAATCTTCACCTTTCAGTCCTTCAATTAATTACCTATGATTGCTAATACGGTGATCAAGCGAATCAACAAAATTAAAACACTAGAAATCAAGTTCAAAGATTTAAACTTTCACCAAGAACCTATATCAATTCATCATCAATCACCAAAAAGTTGGGTTCTTTCCCAATCCTAGACAAGAAATCTACTCACACATGATTGGAATAAGAGAAGACATCAAATAATTATGCAAATCACTCATAAGAAGAAATAAATCAAAGAGAGGAAAGAATTAACCCTTCTTTCAATTGAGATCTTCAAAATCAAAACTTGCAATCCAATCTTGTACAAGAAATTAGTGTCTTTCTTCAATACTTGAACTCCAAAATAATTGCTATTTGATGGCTAAGAGAACATAACAAAAGATATCCAAAACCCTAAGTCAAAACATCTATTTATATGTCCCCAAAAATCTGAAAATTAACTAATTCCCGCGCCACAGGTGTGGTCTGCACCACACCAGGGTGTGGTAGGGGCTGTTTTGCTGATTTTGTGCTTGTTTCTTCAGTTTTTGGTATTTTGTCTATAACTTTTGTGTCCGACATCGGAATGAGGTGATTCAAATTGCGTTGGAAATCTGTTAAAGAGATCTACAACTTTCATCTTTTGAGTTTTTCTTGATTCTAACTACATCATGGTCGAAATTCCAGTTCTTCATACTCATGCATCCATTTTCTTCATGAACCATGCCTTCGAAAACTTGTTATTGCTTCAAACTCTTGTATAACTTCCAACGATCATCAAATCTTTCAATCTTGAGCCAATACCTACATATAAGAACACAAACCACAGCAGTATCCTCGATCAAAACACGAAATATGCATTAAACACTCGTAAATCATGCTTGTAACACACTAAGATAATGCATATTTTACGTGTTTATCAGTTATCGATCTAACTCTTCGAATAGGAATCCTTCAGGGAATCCTTCAAACAAGTTCCAAGCCTAACCTGTAGCTCTGATTCCACTTGTTGTGCGTAGTGAAAATTTTGACAGCACCTCTGTTACACAACAAAAGATTAAGTTCACAACTAAAATTCCTGTTTCGCAAAGGGAAAAAGAATTGATAGCGATATATCTCAATAAAGTGGGATATACACTCTTCCTCTCATCAGTTCTAGGACTGACTTGTTGAGGGAACCTACCAAGCTATTACAAATCACAAAAACAGCAAGACAAATGAATTTTACGTGGTTTGGCAAGCTGCCTACGCCCACGGGGCAAGGAGGGGAGAGATTTTACTAATAGAGAGAGAGAGAGAGTACAAATAGAGATTACAAAATCACTCAAAACTCACAATTTAATCTCTCAAACAAAACTCTCAAATCTCTCCTTCAATTCTCTCCTTGATCAGAAAAAGGCTCTCTGTTTTTCTTCTCGAAAGGACAACCGCCAAAAATCCTCACACCGCAAGTTTTTTTCTTCTGCGTTCTCCCACACGAAAACCTAGGAAGAAATCGAGATTTTTAAGAGAGCCTGGAAGTTGTGTAGGTTGGGCCGCATCGGGCCACTTCAGCGCCCGACTTCCTTCAGCGCGTGGGGGTGTGTTCACGTGCAGCTATTCACGTGCTTGTGGCCCCTACGTTCACAGTTGCAGCCACTACCGAGAATGGAAAGAACCCATAATCCAGCAATAACCTGAAAACCAAGCGTACAATTAGCTTGCGTTCATATATCTAACTAAAGGTATGCAGATCCTATGTCATATCGAAGTATTGAAATGGACTTCAAATTTGACATACGACTAGAAACTTCTCTTCAGTTTCCGACCCAAAGCAATCTTTCTCGGTAGAGCAAATCCCCTGTTGACCTCATACCCTCATCGAAAGGGCGACATCCACAGTTAAATCTTCAGGAATGCTCACCTGTGGAATATGGAGAGGACACCTAAATGCTAGAGAAAGCTTAGATAATAACTTGGTGAAGGGCTCACTTTTTAACGAAAGTGGTGGCACTGGAATAGAGGAAGAGGATGGCTAGTGCGAGTATGAGGCTGTGACAGACTAAAGTAAGTAAATGGTATTCGACGAGTTCAAATAAAACCCAGAGAGCAGTGGCTCCACAAGAATTGTGGCTGATAATTTATTGTTTCTCCAAAGAAAAACATCAGCAGCTGCACAAAGGAAGGCAAGTACGAAGCTCGGTTAGGTAAAAAAAAAGTTTACAAGTTGGAGATCAATATAAGGTTAAAGTCAAATAATGTAATCACTTGTTACTTATTCCATTGGGAACGACAAACTGAAATAGGACAGTAATATTTAATTTGCATGACACTGAAAATCGAAAAATTTCTTAAATTTCGGATCTTTGGTAACAAAGAAAGTTTATTGGATCTTTAAGTTATAGCTTTGCTACAGGGACCCAAAATATGAGATCAATAGGGAGGACAAGTGAGGTATCCTCTCCTATTGGATAATGAGTTCGTCATCATTAATGATGACAAACTCATTATCCAATAGGAGGGGGACATCTTACTTGTCCTCCCTATTGGTCCCATATTTTGGGTCCTTGAGGAATTTTTTCTTTACGTTGTGTTGAACCCAATTAGATGCGCGGACACATATTTTTTGGGGGGGTCATCACATATTAATAGAATCATCATCCTACGAAAAATATCATGGTATATGAATGTTTAGTCCAAGTCAAAATTTCATTTTGCGTTTTGGTGATTCACAAAATTAAAGTTTGCGATTTTGATGGCACTCATTCAAATTTCAAAATTTTAACAGTTAAAAGATGTTTTCTTCAAGTAACGGGTTGGTTGTCTACTTAGATAAGTTACACGCTTCTTTCCATTTTTTGGTACCACAAAGTTTGCTCATTTTTACATTTTGATTCCCAAAGTAATTTTTTAAACCCCGTAATATCCCCAATTTCAATTCCATTTCACTTTGATGTCCCTCCCCAGATTTTGATAGATTTTTGGTTTACTTTGCATTACATTTAGGACTGTTTCTACCGGTTGTTAGGAATCCAAACAACCAAATTAATTGTTCATATTAATTAGACGAAGCATCAGGTGCTAAGAGCCTATTTGTTCTATTTGTTTGCATGGAAGTAGCTATGCCGTAGCTAAAGTAAATGAAATGTAAGCTACTTTTGCTACTTATGAGCAAAAAAGCATGTTTGTTTCTTAGGAAACATTAGCTCTACTTCCTCAATTAGTGATGTGGCGCCTACAAGTCATCTTCATTTTCCCATTTTTTTCCAGCCCTTTCAGCTTGGGAAGGCTTCAATAGTGAATAAAAATAGTGGTGGGGTCCACATGTGAAGAGGGGGACTCCGTGATATCCACGATCCATTTTATGGTGGCACTATATCTAGGTGTGTCTATCCGGGCCCGGGCCGGGCAAAACCGAAGCCCGGACCCGGGCCCGATCAGGCCGTGTTCCGGGCCGGCCTAGTTTATTTTATTTTTTTAAAAAACTTCTATTTAAAATTTAAATTATACAAAAAAAAAGACAAAAAATTTAATAAAAAATAATAATTTTATTAATCACTTAAAATAACATAAATTACAAATAAAAAATTATAAAATTAAATTCTTTATTAATAATTAATAAATCATTTACAAATTACAAGTATAAATTTATTTTGAAATTCATCACATCACAATAGATAAGTACATCCCAACTAGGTTGGCACCTACTCACCTATATTACTATCATTTGCAACTATTTCTAAAATAATTCTTTACAAATTTTAAGCTAAGATATAAAAATTATAATTTGATGAATATTATTTATTCTTTATATCTATCTTCTAGTACCAATTCTTCATATTTATCTTCAATTCCAGCCATCCGATCGATGCCTTGCGTTCGCTTCTCGTACCTCCATCAATCTTATAAGCACATCACCGCTTGTACAGTATACTGATCTAAGCATGTCCTGTGGTCGTCGATCAAACGTCCTGTTGTACTGAAGGCGGATTCCGAAGCTACCGTCAAAACCTGTATTGTTAGTAAGTCACGAACCATGGTGGAAAGTATAGGATATCAAACTGATCCATATACTTTTCACCATTACAAAATATCTAAAGCATTTTCTTGACATTTAACTAAAGAAGCAGATAAATATTCATCTATTTCAGAAACCTCCAATGATGACGAACCAAGTCCAGATCCACCAATTAGCTCAGCTACCATTGCATACCTATCAAAACTTACACTTTTACCTCGGTATGAGCTCGAAGAAACCGAAGCTATAGACCGTTATGTAGCTACACTATGTCTAGCTGTATACTCATCATATAAGGTTTGAAAATAATTTCTAATAGCTAAAT